GAATCGAGATTCCGTCCTCCTTGGAATCGAGATTCCCATCCCCTTGGAATCGACACTCTAGGAGTCAAGATTCATTAATATGCAAAATCGAGTTTTCGACATTTATGGAATCAAGTCTCGGATATATGTGGAACAGAGATATGTTGCTGTTTCGAATCGTGATTCTAACATATTTGGAATCAAGTTTCTGAAGTATATGGATCAAAGATCCCATGCCAGTTTGAGATCGAGATTTGCAATAATATGGACTATGAAATGCATTTGACGACCCCTATCAGGAATCGACATTTTATTTTTATGGAGAAGGAAACCTTGAGCACATTTTGAGCCTTATCAACTTTAGAACCTATAGTGGATGTCTCTTATTAGAAGGTTTCCGAAATTTTAAAGTGATTGTGTTGACTATTGAACTTATAGTCATTATATATAAAAGATAAGTGTTTCTAAATTGTGATTTTGACTTCATTATTATAAAGACAAATGTCTACATCATGGTTTTACTTTCAATTGTATGTGTTGTATTTATCAATTATATTTTAAATTTAAAGTAAAAGTTATCTAGGGTGGTACAAGTAAAATAATGAAAACTTGCAACCACTAGAAGCATTTGATGGAAGATTCCTACTCCAATTTCCTTTAGGAAGTGTACAACCATCATAGACATTGGACATTATGTATACTTTGAATTAGTTTTTTTTTTTTCTTTTTGATACTTTGAATTTATTTAGTTTTGAATCCAGATTCGATATATTTGGGAATGTCTACCTAGTAATGGGTTCAAGTTTCTAAAGATGTGTTGGATCGAGATTCTAAAATTAAGGAATCAAGTTTCTTTGGTTCTGATAAATGGTTTTCAAAGATGTGTTGAATCGAGATTCTAAAATTAAGGAATCGAGTTTTCTTGGTTTCGAAAAATGGTTTCTAAAGATATGTGGAATCGAGATTCCAAAATTGAGGAATCGAGTGTCCTTGATTCCAAAATACGGTTTCTGTGGAGATTCCTTAATGGAGAGATTCCGGTAAATATGATTAGAAATCAACTTTAGGAGGAACTAGACAGGACAACTGCCCCAACCCCATCAACATGGTGCATCAGTGGTGACTTCAATGTTACACGGTGGTATTTCAAGCGCATTTCCAACCCTCGGATTTCTCAGAGTATGCTAGATTTCTCGAACTTCATCTCTAGAAATAATCTCATTGACATTGCTCTCCTAGGAGCTGACTTCACTTGGTCAAATCACTCTGCCCCTCCCTTTCCAAATTAGATCCCTACCTCAACAATCCCGATTGGGATGCTGCCTTTCTTGATTTGCATCACCGACCCATCCTTGTCAATACCCAGCTGACCCCTTGAGGGTGTACACCCTTTCACTTTGAATTATCGGCTGAAAGAGGCCAACATTCGCTTCTTGATCCCATCCTGGTGGGACTCCTCCATCTCGGTTAAGGGTTGGGCTAGTTTTTAGCTCTAACGCAAACTTCAATTACTCAAGGCCTCCTTCAAAACCTGGAGTCATAAGATCCCATGTAACTTCGGCACCCAAAAAGAGGCCTTGCTGCAGTCCATACATGATTGGGACCTAATTGAAGAGAGTAGGACCCTCTCCACAGAAGATAGATAAAGGAAGCAATATTCTGGTATTAATGGGCCATGGTCAAATGGCTGAAATTCGGTGATCTAAGCCCCGCTTTCTTCCACAAGATTGCTAGCTGCCGCAGGCGGGACAACACCATCATCCAAATCAAATTCAGAGAGTTAGTCCTTGATCAACCCTCGCTTGTGGAAAATGCAATCATAGATTTCTTCAGAAAGCTCTTCACGAACACTTCAGACCTTGGCTGATGATGGGTGATAGTTCTTTTCAACCCATACCTCCTGAGAAAGCAGCATGGTTAGAGTTACCCTTTACTGAAGAGGGAGTCCTCAAGGCCATTAATGACTTCGGGGAGGACCGCACTAAACAAGAGCCTCCGAGCCTCGAGTCCCAATGGCTTCCCGGTGGCACTCTTCAAAACCTTATGGGATTCTATTCGACCTGCCCTCGTTGCCATATTCAAGGAGTTCGACGCCAAAGGCGTCATCCACAAAGCCATGAATGCTGAATGCCACTTTCTCATCCCTAAAGTCGAAGGGGCAGAGGAACTCAAGGACTTTAGACCAATTAGCCTAATTAATAGCACTGACAAAATCCTTACTAAGTTCCTTGCTTCTAGACTCAGGGAGGTACTTGGTTGAGTAATTTTCCTACACAAGGGGCATTCGTCAAGGATCTCACCAAATCCATGATTGAGCTTTAGTGGCCCACAAGTGCATCTCTTTTATAGCCCACCTATATCGTGGCATTTTTTGTGTATTGGACCCGGCATGTGGGTCGCCTTTCTTGGTAATTTGTATGACTTTACTTCAATACAAATGTTGACAGTTTCACCCACCAAAAAAAGAAAAGGAAAAGGAGCAATAACTTTATTCATAACCTATTAATTTAATACTTGAAAGAAGGAAAATGAAATAAACATAATTGTAGGGCATTTTAGTAAAAGTGCACTTTATTATCTAAAGGGCCTCTATACAGGCAGCCTAGTTGATGGGAAGCCTCCCTTATGGAGGCTCATTGTTGGTTATACATGTCAGGGTTATTGCATGACTCGTTTGGGCGCAGAAAAATAAATTTTAGAAAAAGCTTACATATTTTTCTTTTATGATACATCAAACTTCATGCATAAATTATATCTGTAAGGACATTATGCTACCGAGGGAGTAAAATCTGCATTTTCTCCCTCAGAAAAATCCCGGTGACCAAATTTTAGGGTCCCATGTAACCTTCTAAATCTAGTGACCAATCTTTAAAGAAAAGAAAATGAATGCACACCAGGATGACTGAAAAAATCACGTCCTAGGGTTGAATAAAGTCCATTCAATTTTTGAGAGTCAGATCTTGGTGTTCAAGAACTCCAAGTCCATTTTCATTGCTATTTTTATTTTTTCCATAATTATTTGGTGATTTGACAGTGCAAATTTCAGATCAGATCCTCCTTCCTTGGTCTTTTGCCCAGGGGAGCAAGTACACTGCCTACTCTTATAGAAGCACAGTATACTGCTCAAATTATATTGGTGCATGTTTTCTTCTTTTTTAAAAATTTTCACCGTTGTTATTTTCTGGTTTATTTTTATTCTTGTACAGAAAATCCTATTCTATTGTGTATTACCTGTCTGCCTTGCTTCATGTACGATTATGATTTCTATGCTTTGCTTTGCTTTTGGTAGCCTTATCGTTCAACCTATCAAATACTGTATCTGCTCCACCTTTTGGCTCTTCAATCCTTTCATCACCTCATTTACCAAAAAAATCCTTCCATCTTATCATATGGATCATAATCTCGGGCTTAACCATGTTGTTTTAAAAACATCTATAACACCGATGTTACTTTGAACAAAAGGCATGTGATTCACATTCACTCTAATAGCTTTAAGCAAGGCATGCCTCTCTCCTAAGACTTGGTTCTATAATTCTCCTAGGGGCCCCATATATATGGCCTAAGGTTGAACCACAGTAGCATTCCCAAGTACTTTACTGCCATCTGCATGTTCAAAGTATGAAACCTTCTCCATGGAGCCCCTAAGGAGAAACCTATGACAAATCCTACTTTCTATTGCCTGTCCTGAAAACTAAGCTGCTAAGATAAAATCGTGAAAAGAGAGCCAACGGAGGATCTCTTGAGCCCTCGAGCTACAAATGTACTTTTTGGAGTTCAATACTTGTGATACAAGATATTTTTCTGGTGGCTAGTTTCCATCCCTATTTGTCTCCTCCAAAATCCTCTCCTACAGATCATGTAATGTATCCCTAGCTAAAACATATGTTTTTCATCTCTTTCAATTAGAAATGATTGATTTCATATTTGTTATTCATATTGATGTTCTTCATTTATATGAGCAGTGATTAAAAAATTGTCAATTTGGGTGGGGAATCATCTATAACCGTTCTGGTTCTTGGTTGGAACTGGCTATTCATTAAAGATATTGTCATTAATCGTATACTCTTTTTAATCATAAACTTGAACAACCAAGTTGGCTAAACCAGGTGGTTATCATAATGTTCAAAAAAATATTGTAATGCTCAAAAAAACTTTTAATGTAATGTTCAAAAGATATTTTTTTCCTCATTTTTGTTTTTGTAATGCTCAAAAAAATATTTTATCTCTCTCTTGAAAGTTCAAAAATTATTTCGACCCAAAGGGTTCCAACCTTGGATCTTATGTAAACAGTCATAATGTGCTCCTAACTATGCTATTCATGCACATAACTAATTCATGCTATATGATACGGATTACACACTTTATATAATATATTTAGTTTTAAACCTTTTTTTCCTCCAAATTTTACAGGATCCACGATCCGGCAAATTTGGGTTGCCGATTCGAACAATTCAGATTTGGATCGTTGGGTGGACAATCCACCCACCAATCCATTTTTTTAAAATACTATTAAGAAAATATTACCATACATGAATCTCTCCAATTGGTTGCACCTGAAATGAAATGCATAACTGTATGATCATGTGACCTTTGATGGAACAACAATGGTATCTGATTTCTTTCCCAAAAAGAAAAAGAAATAATGATGTCCTATTACAAAAAATAAGCAGATTATAATAGAACGAAAGGATCATGTTTTTGGGAAGAAACTATTGTATGTTAGATTGCTAATCAGATGGAATAAAATTCTAGTGTTTCTTGGACTAAAATCAGTACACCAGACAATGCCACCCTGCCACGGTCCTCTTCATGTGGGAGATCACTAGTTTTGCATGGAATGACATTGATATAAGACAATTTTCCATTTTGCGAATCACTAAACGTTTCTTTCTTTCTTGTGTCTTGATTGTTCTTTGCGTTATTAGTATTTTCATGCTACATTACGGTGTTGCATCTATGAAGCTGTTTGCACAAAGGTTTAGCTGTATCTCTGCGCTAAATCTTCTCCTATTAATTCACAGAACCTACTGTAAAGATTGAAGGGCCAAGAGGATATCTGTCTAGAAGTTTAACACTGGAAGAAGCAACGGACACCATATTGTTCTGCAGCTCAATTGTTCATGGTCTTGCGTATAAGGCTGCCACCATTGCTATGGAAAAGGAGACTAATTCTGTTCCCCTCGAAGGTTCTCGTTCCCAAGTTACTATCCTTGGTAGATCAGGTCGTGATGTTAAAGTTCCATACAGTGGGATGGTTGGCAGGCGTACACCAAAATCCCACAAGCCCAGATCCCGGCCTATGGAGTCACCTGATAAATCTCCTTCGACGAAGATGGAATCTGTTGTCAGTTCTCAAGAATCCTTTGGTCATAATGGAACCCATCCAATCCACCACCCCTCTGATAGTGTTAAACCTCCAAAACTTGAGTCCAAGTGCAATTGCACAGTCATGTAAGGGTCTCTCTCACTCTCTCTTTCTCTCTCTCTCTCTCTCTCAGACAAAAGGGAGTGAGTGTATGTACTTTTAGAGATTCTATGTCTGCAGGGTGCCATGGAAATGTCCCGCTTGGTTTCTTGCCCTTCCATTTTTATTTGTAACAAACACCACCTTGTGTTGGTGATGTAATCATGTAAAATTGTGCCTTGTATGCCAGGAGAGGAGTTATGAGTTTGTGGTTGTTATTGTTGATTTAAACATGTGAATAGATTGATTGATTCAGAAAGATGTACATCTTATTTGTTTGCCATTGCAGTTTATGCAGTTGTTGGTAGTAGTGAGTGTAACGCCCATAAGAGTATACTTGAGACAATCGAAAGTTACTCTTCCAAATGAAAACTAAAAACATAAGCTGTTGTTTATGAAACTGGCTTGGGCCCAGTGCATTTACTCAGTTTGAATGCTGGTTAAGTATATGCTTTGCATGAATGGGGTCGGGGGGCAGGCGACAAGATAAGGAATGAACTTTATCAAGGGATTTATCAAAATACACTTAAACATACTGACTATTTAACGTTTTATCCGTATCTTTTATTTAATTTTAATGCCTATTAAAATACACATGATTTTGACTGGAATAGTAGGAAAGGGTAAAATGTTTAGTAGTTGAGAAGTAGGGTGTAGTTTATCAATGAGGCTCCACGTGTTTGTTTGATGGGAGACCCCTAGGGCAGCTGACGGTGGGTTTGATTTCTGGCAAGCTTCACAGGGTGAACCCTTTAACTCCCTTAATGCATTGGGTTTTTACTACTATGAGATAAATGAGGCATCACGATATATGGCAAGTTTGAGCACGAGTGATGCTTTTTTTTTTTGAACAGTTAACAGTGATTTCTCATTGAGAAGGAATGAAAGGAGGACAATAAGAAAATATATATATATTTTTAACAGTTAATAGTGCTTTCTCATTGAGAAGGAATGAAAAGTACAACACAACCAAATAAAAGGTAAGAAAGTAGGACAATGAGGAAAAAAAGAACCATAGAAAAAAAGGAAGGGAAGGGAAGGGAAGGGAAGGGAGGAGGAGAGGGAGGAAAATTGAACGGCTGAAGTCATGTCACCACAATAACTCTTGCCAAAGAAAGAGAACAATAGCATGTGTGCCTTCATTTGTGCGTAGATGGAAGGGAGGGACACAATGGTGGTATGTGGAAATGCCTAATCCATGAGAAAGAATGCTAAAACCATAACCATTATGATAAGGACGATTTAGTTCGACAAAAAATGGTTTTTATTGAACTCGTTGTTGGGTTTTCATAACCAAAATCCAAACTACACAGACATCCCTGAGATTAATGATCTCATCTAATGTTTTGTACTTTAATGCTAGTACAGCATGAAATCCTATATGTTATATAAAGGAATGTAAACGGACAAAATTATTCTTGCTCTTTTTTTCATTTCATTTTTAGAAAAAAAAGAGCAAGTAAAATAATTTTATCGTCAGTGTTTTTATCATTAGAAAGGATAGTATTGATATTTGCACTAAAAGACAAAAAGTAATTTGTCCTATTGAAAATGATAAATTTGAAATATAATTAAAAGACAACTATATTTATATTAATACAGTGCCAAGAACCTTCTTTTATAATTGCCCTTGTATTTTAGTGAGAATATCAATAAGACCTTTTGGTAATAATAAAAATGCCCTTATTTTTTGAATATTGAATAAATTAGAAGGGCAACTATGGTAATTCTAACAGTTCATACACGTTTTTAAACGTAACTTATAGGATTTTGTGGGGCGTTAGTCAAAAACAAAACTAGAAACCATGTTCGCGGAATTTGTATGAGCCCAAATTATGCATCCACACTCTCTTCATCAATAGTCGACCTAAAAAGATTAAACTTCAACTTACACACCAGATATGATTAAAATGAGTCACTTCCAACAATGAATTTAGATCATCCATTTAGTGAATTTCAAGATCTAAGCTATTATGAATTCAAAATCAATTTTTTTTAACATTATTAATCAAATGATAATAATAGTACTAAAAAATTTAGAAAGGAAAAAGATCCTTCTAAGACTTAGATCTAGGTATATCATTAGAATGGACGATCTGTATTACTTGTGCTACAAACTACTTTCTGGATTATATTTTCAAATTTTACTTTTTTTCTTTGTGATCATTCATTAGAATGAAAATAACATATATTTAAAAATTGCGATCAAACAGATAATTCTAAAATAATTTTTTGAAGATTGTCATTTTTTATTTATTGGGTTTTGTTATGTATGGATCCTCTAATTATGTATTTTGTCTCTTGTAATGAGCATCACACGTCTTATAAAGGACCTTACTTTGGATTTCTCTTTATTGTCTCGTTTTTTCACGTAAAATAATGTTTTTATTGACTTTCTTTATAAAACGCTTACTATGGATTCTTTATTAGGGAGTTAGAAAAGGTTATGTGGGTCGACTTGTTTGCAAGAGGGATAAACCTTAAAGGTGAATTTCTTAACTAGTTTAGAGTCCGTATTTCTTTTTCTATTGCTGCTTATATGATATCATTTTCTCATTGTTGTTTATATGAGTTTTTTTTTAGTTGTTTATATGAGTTTGCCTAATTAGAAACCATTGATACTAACATGCTGTCAAATTGTTCTAAAGAGGTTGCAATATAAACCCATTAGTTAAGGATTTCATTTTGGAATTGCATATAATCTGGATTATTTGATGTTGGTTTTGTTGCATTTTCAAATGAATTGTGCTATTGAATGGTTTTTCAAAGGGTTTCATTTTGGTAACAAGTTAGGTGTATTTAGCTTACAAGTTTCATGGTTTTTAGACCTTTCAACCATTAAAATGTCATCTACTTCTGCAACTAATGAAGGACATCCGCGTCGTACCTATCCTCGTTGCCACCTACCATGTAACACCAGTATATCAAATTCCAAACTAACCCTGGTGAAGTGTACTTTAGGAGCCTTGTAGTTTTTTTTAGTGGTACGATTATTACATTGAAGGGATGAACTGCAATGCAAACTTGAGGCATCATAGCATAGCATAGAGGACTCAATCGTAAGATTCGAAAAACGAGTCATGGTTAATCCAAATCAAATGGTCATTCGAGATTCAATTGTTAATGCTTTACGGCGTGTCCAATAGTTTCTATTTTTTTCACACGACATTTATTTTTCTATTATTCTTTTTCAAAAGTAAGTGATATGTTTGTCGAATTGGATATGAAAGAATTCAGTGTTTGTGGTTGTGTAGGTTCATCTTTATTTAGTAGATGCAAGCTTGTATTTACACCACATTTACTTATGGTTTGTTCATTAAGACAATGTTATTTGGGTCATACATTGGTATCTTTATGTGGCCCATATATAGTCAAGTACTTAGTGAATGGGTTTTGGTATGTTTATGTGTACTAGCGTACTAAGAATGGATGTTGGTATGTTTAGTAAATGAATACTGGTATGTTTATTGAATGGAGGTTGATATTTGAGTATTAGGTGAATGTAAAATTGTCCACATGTATGATTGCCATCATATTATGATAAAATATATTTAATTGTTATTCACCATATAGGAATGAGTTCTGAAAATGTTGGAAGAAATTACCAATGGACAACACCACAAGACGACAGTGGTCAAGCCTGATTTTTTTTTGCGTGGACGGCGGGAAAAATCCTCTCTCAAACAACCGCAGAGGGTCCGCGCCCATTTTACGTGTGCTCTCCTACGTGCGGATAGGAATTAACAAAGAGAGAGATTTTACGGCAGAGGTGCGTTTGGGCGCTTACCTTGTCGTTTTGGGGTTCGGGATACACCTGGGTAGTTTGGCCTCTTAGAACAATTACAAAGCCCTCCGACTATCTGCCAGCACAGTTTGGACACAGACTCTCCTCAGGCTTTTCAACTTGTTGCTTCACTCTCTTGTGCTGGGAACTGCAATATGGACCTGGTTGTACTCCTCTATAGTGGCTCGCTCGAACGAGGGCTGGCTGACGAAAAGAAAGGATAAGGGAGAAAGGTGATAGGGATTCCCCTCTCCGTGTGAATGTTACAAGCTCGAGTGATTAGAGAAATCAAAGGATTATAACTCTCTTGACTTATCATCTCAGGAAGACTCCTCTCGAGTGACTGAGGGAGAGAGCGTATGTGTCTCTCACAAGTCAACTCGACTGCATGGAGTCAAAAGTTCGAGCAATGCTCTGAGGGTTGGAATCCCTAAGTGCGTGCGAAGGTTGCGTGGCCGCGCAGACTGACTTGGAGGTTGCCAGTGTATGGGTGTGCATGGGGGTGCCAGCGCTGGCAGCGCCCCTGTGAGACATGGGCGAGGTCACCTTCCGGTTACCTGTGGAGGCGATGGCCTTGTTGGGAACCACCAGGCGGAGAGGAATGGTGGTACATGGACCACGTTGAGGTATGTGACTGGCGGGGTGTCTGTCAGTGATAGGGTGCTGGTGTGAGGGGGCGGCTATAGTGCTGTCCATGCAGTTGACATTAAGGGATTTTCCCTTGATGCCAGAAGAGGAGGGGCAGGGAGCTTGAGCACCCTTGCCCCGAGTTTCCTAGGCAGGACTAGGAAAGCAGGGCCAGCAAGGCCGCTTGAGTAGGACGCGGGGAAGGTATGATCAGATGGATTGCTCACCCCGGGTGAGGTCGCGGACATGGGGATGTAGAAATCCCAAAGGAGGGACAGTGGGATCCCATAGCAACTTTAGAGAGAGGAGAATGAGAGATACTTGGGAAGTGGCATCGTAGAGAAGATTTTCACCAACCTCCTCTTTATTTGAGGCTTTTTTACTCATAACCTTGTGGCCACGCCCACCTTTTTCTTTTCCATTTTTACTCATGGTGTCCTTTCGGGTTCTCACCATGACCGGATTTTTATTTTCACGGATCTCTCTTACTCATGGTTTCATGACCGTGCCTGTCCTCATTTTTACTCATGGCATTCCCTTATTCAGATTTACACCATGCCTGTTTTCTTTATTATTATTTTTTTGTGAGGTCGAATTTAAGGTCATGCCTCCGGGACCTGTGCAAAGCAGTTTAATGTCATGTGTTTAGGATGTTCACTATAGTTTAGGGTCATACAGCTGGACTGTGGAGGCAATGGATGGCGGTCGGTGGAGGCCATGGAGTGAGTATGGTGGTGGTTTGACTCACTTTTGGGGATATGGCATGAGGCTGCCTACAAAGGATGGATGGTGCTGGTATGGAAGGAGGATATGTCATGACCTCAGACAGAGCGCGGGATCGCGACCAG